CACTTCTCGCCAAATGTTTTGTGAATACAATAATTAATTGATTTAATAAATCACGAGTTGTTGTGACACAGGGTTTGTTGATTGAGCGCTCAATCGGTGGTGATGTATGTCATATACATATGTGTGCCATGAGTGCAGACATTGGTGTCACGAGTGGTTCGTTGGGCGAAGAGTTTGGTGGCGATCACTGAATACATGGTCTGGTCGTCGGCCACGGGCTTCACGCGACTCCTCGTGCGGATCAATTGGCGGTGACGGACACCGACCCACTGGTGGCGATCACCACTAGGGCTTCAGACAACACATGCATAAAAGTGACACATTTTCTAACCGTAATAGCAATCAACTGATTGTACACTGGATTTGGTGTTCATATTGTCATTCAGATGTGTATTTTCGTAGTGTTTTACACTGTTTTTAGGTCAACACATAACACTGAACAGTGACTGCATATGACACACACATATCACACACACATTGAATACACTGCACACTCACTGCCAATACAACTCTCCCAATGGCTTAGCATTGAATGCAATCACTGTTTTCGTCACTCCATTGCGTCCAATGGATGGCATAATATACGGGCCGTTCATAAGCGACGTGCGGCTCATTGCGGGGGGAATTGGCTGTACGTATGGGTCACATGAGTGTATGAATGAGTGAATTGTGTTTATGTTTGTCATGAATGACGAAAACAGTGAATCCCTGGACGACCAGACATTGTCGTTGACCACAACCACCACCACATCCCGCGCGACATCACCGCCAGAGACAGTGGACACGGGAGTGCTGTGGAGGCACCTGTTGGCCGGTGGGATGGCCGGTGCCGTGTCCCGCACCTGTACGGCACCACTCGATAGGCTCAAAGTGTTTCTACAAGTATTGCATACCATTCCCACTGATTGTGCAATCGTTACGTACTAATCACTTGTGACATACCGTTCCCCCGCAGGTGAGAGGAGCAGAATTTCATGGGTTAGGCATCTGTCTGAAGCATATGCTGGAGGAGGGCGGTGTGACCTCCCTTTGGAGGGGCAATGGGATCAATGTGCTGAAGATTGCGCCCGAAAGTGCCATTAAGTTCATGGCTTACGAGCAGGTATTGCACGTGTGGTTGTTGTCACCGATTGTCACTCACTGTTACCAAACAAATGATACCCTTTTTCAGGCCAAACGTGTGATTAGAGGCAACGCTACCCGAGAATTATATATTCACGAGAGGTTTTGCGCCGGTATTTGATTCACCACTCAATCCATTGGTTGAGAAAGTATTGATTTGTTTGTTGACATGATTTAAAGGCTCGATCGCCGGTTGTATCTCTCAGTCTGTGATATACCCGATGGAAGTGCTGAAGACGAGACTCACGTTACGCCGGACCGACCAATACATGAGTATAGTTGACGCCGTCAAACATATCCGAGTGCAGGAGGGCTTCACCAGCTTCTACCGGGGCTTTCTGCCCAACCTGTTGGGCATTATTCCCTACGCCGGCATTGACTTAGCCGTCTATGAAGTAATTCAATCTCTCTCTCTCTCTCTCTCTCTCACTCACTCACTCACTCACTCCCACTCACTGTCTCTCTCATGATTTAGTGTTGTTTTCATTTTTATAAATAATGTTTTTTGTCGTTCCGTTGCAGACATTAAAGAAATTATATTTAAAGCATTACTCATTAGAAGAAGACCCGGGAATACTAGTGCTGCTGACGTGCGGCACCGTTAGCTCATCGTGCGGTCAGTTATGTAGTTACCCGTTGGCGCTCGTGCGGACCCGACTGCAGGCACAGGTGGACAACAAGCACACAATGGTTGGTCTGTTCCGTGGCATTGTGGCCAATGAGGGCTTCGTAGGCCTGTACCGGGGAATTACACCCAATTTCATGAAAGTGGCGCCGGCTGTCAGTATAAGTTACGTGGTGTACGAGCATACGAGGCGAATGTTGGGCGCCTCCATGTCCTGATGCGCGTGGAGTGCGGGCCCACTCATGGCGTTGTTGTTTAGACCAAATAAGAAATTTAATAATATTTGTATCCATAACTTATATTTTTACTTAAGATTTAAAGCATAAACTAATATGAATACCAAGTTCACATAATTTTACTTTAATAAGTAATCGTATTTTTGTTATATTATTATTGATTAATTAATTATTATTATTACTATTACTGGCGTTAATAGTAATCATTAATCTTTACAAATTGATAATAAGTTTTGTAAAATAGATATAATAATATCTCGATATAATAGGCTACAATATGTTATTTGAATAAATATAGGAATAAATAATACATTATATTCTTCGCTCTCTCTATATGTTTAGAATTTCTTTAAATTAATTTATTTTTTAATCAATTAATTATAGTTATTATTATTAATGAATTTCTAGTAGTTTTGAAAATAACTTTTTGTGCATTTGTTTTTGAATAGCAATTAATTTTTAGCTCATTTTTTGTTTTGTGTTGAAATGATTCGCAAATGTATTGTGATTTTTATTGATGAATATTTTTTATTTTTAATTTATTTTATTATTAAAATTGAAAATGAAAGATTAATTTGTTTTCAAAAACCTTATCCAATGGTAATGTTTGGCTTATAAATAGCACATTTTCAGTGGTTTATGGCAAGCTTATTACGGTATCAGGGATAATACCCGGGATAATACAGGTAATACAGGTATTAGGGATTTATTGTATGAAAACGTCAACACGTGCTAAACAACACGTGTTTTGCAGTCATTTGTTTGATCAGTGTTTTTGTGCCGAAGAGTCACCATTTGATTGCAAACTAATGGCTGATAATAACGACAGAAGAATGTCCTCAAGAAGTCCAGCAAATGAGTTGATAGTCTATCCCAAAGACTCTTTCGACAGATTTGGTGACGATTTGTGTGAAGTCTTACTGACATATCTGTCACTTGAATATCGGTACCGATTTGAATGTGTGTCCAAACAATGGCAACGATTAATATTCAGCACACAGTCGGAGCTTATAATGAGTGCTCAATTAGCGGCGAAACTCGAGTCCAAAGATTTGACACGATTTGAGGCACTGCTGAAGAAGTGTCCAAATATTAGACACGTTTTCCATATGACTGAAGGCCTAACCGATGGTATGATTGATCTGATGGTCAAGTATTGCAAACACATGGATATGTTTATCGCGCGCATCGATGGTAACGTCAAAGTGGTGTCCATTCACGAAGTCTTTCAAACTTATGGCAAACAATTGAAAGCATTTGATTTGATGGGAAAGCCGAGGAAGTCGGTCGACAAATATGTGGACAAAAACATGAGTTTCTGCGGAAATATCGTTGAATTCAATGCCTTAAACTCCAGTCTCGACAAAGTGTTTGCGAAACTGTTTTGCACCGGAAGTGCGGCCGTATTCCCGAGACTTCGCAAACTGACTTTCATGCACTGCTTTCTGTACGACAATGTGCTGGATCAGTTTGCCACCAACTATGGCCACACATTGAGAGCCATTTACGTGGAAATCAATTTCATGTACGTCAAGGAGGGCTCCATTGAGGCCCTGTTTGAGTGTTTGTCACAAATGCCGGCTTTGATTGACATCAGTATTCATTACAACGTTCCCATCAAAGACCACATGTTTGTCGAGACTGTCGATGGATTCAAGCGATTGGGACCGAAATGCCCGCAATTGAAGCGTTTGTGGCTTTGGTTTAACAAGTATTTGGTGTTAACTCGCAGTGAATGCGAAGACATTTTTGGCACAATTAATGCTAACTTCAAACGCTTGAGTCAATTGGAAATGGCTGTCCATATCGCCAAAGAGTTTGCGTTCACTAAAGACACGCTTAAACAGTGCAACCGTTTGACGTATATTGGGATCAGTTTCTATATAAATGACTCGTTTTTGCCAAATATCCACAAATACTTCCCGAGACTTGAGTTCTTATGGCTCAACAACACTGATGTGACGGATGAGGGTTTGGATTCAGTGACCAAATTGCCGAAAATACAAAGTATTAAACTTCTTGGCGCTAAAGGTGTCTCTGAATCGGGTGTCAAGAAACTGACTGACAATTGTCTTAAGATTAAGAAACTTATGCTTAACATGGATCGCTAATTCAATTATCTAACTGTTTGTGACTAATTCCCAATGACTACAATGTTTTCAACAAAATTCTGTGACTATATTTCAATTAATAGATCTTAAACTATTTTAAATCATTGTTTAGGTATTGTATGAATAAATAATACAATTGTAATCCTTTGATCCCTTCATTAATGTTTGAAACTTTTAGAAACTATTTCTTATGTTTGTATTATTAGTAACAAAAGTGTTTTGGCAATAAATGTCTGTTTTTTAAATTGTGTTCAATTTTTCTGATTTGATTTTTCAATCGCAAAATGATTGTAGTTTTAGATAAATATTTCCTTTAATTTGTATTTAAATAAAAATATATTTCAATTAATTTCATGAAAGCGTTATTAATTTGTGAATTAAAAGTAAAGGTCACATACCTGGGCACATTTTTAATACAGGTGTCACACCTGATTAGTTATTAATAATAACTTATTGTTAATAACAAGTTAATATTTGAGCAAATCATGTACTAAAACATAAATCATGGGTTCATTCATTGGTTTAAATCGTCTTTTGTCTCAAATAACGATTCATAATATCTCGAGAAGAATGTCCTCAAGAAGTCCAGCGAATGAGTCGGATGTCTATCCCAAAGACTCTTTGGACAGATTTGGAGACGATTTGTGTGAAGTCTTACTGACATATCTATCACTCGAAGATCGGTTCCGATTTGAATGTATGTCCAAACAATGGCAACGATCCGTATTCAAGACTCAATCAGAATTGAAAATCGATCGCAAATTAGCGGTTAAATTGAACATAAAATCGAAAGGTTTGACACGTTTTGAGATAATACTGAAGAAATGTGCGGACATTGAATCGTTTCAATGTATGAATGAAAATTCATGCAATTATATGTTGGATTTGATTATGAATTACTGCAATCATATAAATTCAATGATTATATGGATTGATGGTAATAGACATGTATGCGAAGAATCAGTCGATCAACTGTTTGCAAAGTATGGCAAACAATTGAAATTAATTGAATTGTTTGGAAATGATGAATTTATTAAGCAATCTGTGAACCGGTATATTAAAAGTTGTGAAAATATCACACAATTCATGGCATTGAATGAGAAATTAGTGGAAATGTTTTGTGTGCAAAATGAAGTTTTATTCCCAAAACTAACTAATATAACGATGTATTTCAATATGAGTTGTATGAATGCATTTGAGATATTTGCAGACAATTACACGAATCAGTTGAAGACAATTCACTTGGAAATTGAATGGAGATTTCATACGGAGTCCATTGAAAGACTAATGAATTGTTTGTCACAAATGCGTGCATTGAATGAGTTATCCATTTATTATCACAATTATATTTACGACTCGACTCTTGTAGGGGTTAATGAAAAACTTAAAGAAATTGGACTCAATTGCCGACAATTAAAGCGTTTCTCAATTTCATTTGCCATGAATTCAGGATTCAGTCCAAACGGATACTTTGTAATCTTACAAACAATTAATGATAACTTT